GAATGAAAAAAGTAAAACTGACTTTATATACTGTCATTTGTTTTCTACTTTACAAAAAAAATATGACTCTTTAAAAACATGTCTCCTCTCAGAGTATAATTCAAAAAATATATTAGAACATTTATTTAATTATTTTGACGGAAATCAGTCTATAATTGATCATATGAATAAACATTGTAATTGTATTCCTTATGATTTGAATGTGATATTGAAAGAATTGAATGATGAATATAAAACTATAACTAACAAAGGCGAAACACTGTATTTATTTGATTACTTAAATAAAAAGTTGCATGATCAAATTAAGCACATATTGGTTAACAAATTTATTGAACTTGGTTTTAAAATTGATTTTTCGTATCGAAATATGGCTATATCATATCCAACACAATTATTATATTCAGGTATATATTTGATTTGCTAACAATGAATTTTAATAAATTTTGCATATTAGTGTTATTGTTATAAATATATTTTATATATTATGGTAACAAAAAAATGCTGCCACCTTTTAATTACAAAAAAAATTTGTTGTCCGGAGCGTTGGTATCTACTCACTAACTCCTAAATACGTCCTTGGTTATTGTTATAGTACTATTTTAACTAATTTATAATTTGGACAAACCATTAAGTATTTATATTTTATGTTTCATTGGTGTTGATTACATAAAGTGGTTTTGTATTATTGTAGTTTAATATTTGGCATTATTGATTTAGTTGTTACTCTATAATTATCTTTTTGAATTTGAAAAATTTAAACACAATTTAAAATAAGTTGAAAATTAAGAAAATTAAACGAATATTTTACTTATATATAATTTCATTAAAATTAATAACTGACACGCAATTGGATCGGTAATAATAATAATATAAAAAAACCCAGCACAGGGGGGTCGCGGCACAGTGGTGACGTGGCATAGTTGGATCAAGTATAATGATATCTGACAGTTTCGTATTTCCAGGTTTACCGACACTCAAAAATCCTCGGCCCTAAAGGCAAAATACTTAAAAAGAGTCTCCCCCTGAAATCAAACTGGCCCTCAGACAGTCTACCGACGTCGACCATGTGGTGCTCGAGTCGGGTGACTAGCAGCCGCTCAAGGATCTTCCCGAGTCGTCCAACATGCACAGATGTTGCTACGACGAAAGGAGACCCTCGGACTTGTCCGCCATATATAATTATAATTTTGCTAAATTTTTTTTTAGTAATAATTTCTTTCTTAGACTACGTTTAAAGTATGTATTTGATTGTTTAAGATTAATAAGAAAAAAGGTAGCATACTGAGGTCGTGGCACACTATGGGATGTGTCATAGTTGGGACAAATACAGACGAATGAAATAAATGTAAAAAAACCAAAATATCCTATCAATTGTTTTAGTCTATTAAAGTTGATTTTTTGAAAGTTTATAAAAAAAAGTAAAATTTGTTACCATAACTTTCAGCTCAACTTCAAAAGCGAGATCTAAGAACATAAATGAGAGCCAAAAAAAATCACACATTAAAATAATTTTAATATGAATAAAAAATTACTTCGAAGTTATTGAATCTAAATAAGATAAAGATCAAATTAGTTAAAACTTTTTTTCTAACTCAAAACTTTTGTAAGTTATTTTAAAATAAAATAAAATACAAAATCGAGAATTTTAACACAAAAATAGCATATTTTTAAATACGATAGCTTTTTACACTATAAATATAATATAAAGTTCGAAACTTTTTTTTTCATATTAAAGTATATTATATGTTTGAGTGTTCCTTTAACTTAAATTGAAAAGGAGAACACTACAGGAATGTCAGGAATAGACAAATATAATATAGAAAATTGTGAAAGGTGTTGAGAGTATTCATATATTAATATTTCAATGTAAGAATATTGTACAAACATAAAATATCATTAAACTTAATGTTAGTAAAACTTAACTAAAATAGGAATATATATATATACATTGACAGATTATTTAATAGTAATTTAAAACGATACAATAAAGGTGACCTGTATATCCACAGATGACAGCGACCTGGTTTGCAGCAAGTTTGTATGTCTTGCTAATGACCGGAAAAACGACGATTAATCTTGTCCAAAAGTTAGTGTGTTTTGGGTATCTCTTTATATGTAAAGAACCGGCATGCGAAATTATGAGTGTATATACACCCTTTTGCGATAGTTCAAAAAGAACACAAAAAAAAAAGAAACGATAATATACCGTTCAATTTGATATCAACGACACTCGAGCGAGCGAAATATTAATGACGCGTTTTAAAGAGTCGCATGGAACTCGTTTTAATTATTTTATCAGCGGTCAATCACATCTTGATGGGGCGGTCACAAACAAGGTACCATATAACTGTATACGCAACATTATATAAGTTTGAATTTAAGATATATATATATATGTGTCAGTATTTCCGGAACACTTTCAAAAGTTAAATTTTTGTGAAAAAGTNTTTCCGGAACACTTTCAAAAGTTAAATTTTTGTGGAAAAGTTGTTATTTTAAATTCATTCCTATGAGCAAGTAAAGGGTCAGATTTAAAAAAAATATACCAAATGATTGATTTATATGTAATTTATCTATTTAACAAAAATGTTTATATTCATCTATTTTTAAAAAAGTTATGACAGTTCTAAATAAAAAAAAATTGAAAATTAGCGATTTCTAAATTTGTAATTTTTTTAAAGATTTCTCCCATTTACGTGGAACGAAGGAATTTTTTTCTATTTTTCAGAATAATGACTTTGATTAGATACAATTTGTGAACTTTTGACGTATCGTTGAAAGAAATCGGTTCGACGAGAGCTGTGAAAAAGTGGTAACAAACAAGTAAAAAAAAAATAATAATAAAATTAAATTAAAACGCATCATAGTAAAATTAATACCTTCTCAGTTTCGCATCGAAGCTAAAATTAAATTAAATTTGTTAATTTTAATTTTTTTACAAATATAAGTATAGTAGTAAACTGAATCAAAATTTAT